GACCTCAAGGTCAGAGATGGGGTGGCGGGACACATGGGTCTTTGGAGGGTCTGAAGAAAAAGAATCAGAAACTTCTCACTCTGGGTTACCTCCATGAGCCACTGAAACAGCATCATGTGACCATCCTGAGACTGGACAGGATGATGGGTTTGAAAAGAAGCACAAACCCGGGACAGCAGCCTGCATCTGGATGTCTGGGAGTATCTCCTAGTCCTCGGAATGTTTAAGAATCAGAATGAAAGACAAGATAGGAGGCTCCAGGGCTGTAAGGGTGGGAATACAGAGTCCTGTTTACAATGGAGGAGGATGAATGACTCAGAAAAGCTGGAGTCAGGATCACACAGGGTCTTGAGCTGAGAACAACCTGAGAGATAAAGCCCTGGTTCACAAGATGATGGCTGGGGTCAAGGGCACCGGCGGTCAGTTATTTCAGGGACGGTCTCCCCCTCTTTATCCTGAAGAGCCTGGATTTCCTGACTGTCCTTTAGAGAAGTCGGGCCGCTGCAGTCGCTCTCCTGTACAGAATACGGGGACCTGGGCGGACCCCTCCCTCTGCAGCAGGAAGCCGGGGCGGTTTCCCGCAGGATCCCGTCGTCTTCTCCTTGTGCGATTCGAGCTCCAGCCCGAGGGGAGGCCGTGGAGGCCCCGCGGCCCCTCGTACCTGCGCGCTGCAGCGTCTCCTTCCCGTTCTCCAGGTATCGGAGGAGCCACTCCACACACGCGCCCTCCAGGTAGTTCCTCAGTTGCTTCGCGGCACCGGCCTCCTCCCACTTGCGCTGAGAGATTCGAGCTGCCGCCTTCGCCGCCGTCCAGGAGCGCAGGTCCTCGTTCAGGGAGATGTAATCCGCGCCGTCGTAGGAGAACTGTCTGTATCCGCCGAGGAAGCGCCCGTCCGGGCCCACGTCGCAGCCGTACATCATCTGGACGGTGTGAGACCCTGACCCCGCCCCGCCCCCCACAGTGATTAAACCTCAACTGAAAATGAAACCGGGTCAAAGTCCCCGCCGGCTCTTCCCGGGTCGAGGGCCGGGCGGGCCCCGCAATGTCGGGGTGACCCTCGGACCCGGAGACTTGGGGGATCCCGCCCCGTCCCTAGGGATGGGGACGTTGACCTGGACCCGGGCCCGCGTCGCTCACCGGCCTCGCTCTGGTTGTAGTAGCCGCGCAGGGTGTTCAGGTCCACTCGGTACATCTGTGCGTTCTCCTTGGAGATCCGTGTCTCCCGTTCCCAGTACTCCGGCCCCTCCT